AAGGTCCAGACATGCAGCTGAAGTGACCAAGTGACTAGGGCTTGAGCTGAGCCTTAGCAGGCTTGCCATCCACACCTTCTCTACCCCATAGCTCCCCACCTCCCCCACTCCCTACCACATGAACTATAGCATATTTCTTGTCTCATTTAGAGGATTCTTATGATGTATAGTACATGTTCTAATTTAAATGTATAGAAATCACCATAAATGCGTAAATAAAATTAGATGGGCCTGTTTAAGCAGTACTATATCTTATATGCACTGCTGAGAGTATCTCAGACTACTACTATTGCTACTGGTCACATGTCCGAGTGGTCCCCTAGGCTGTCTGTACTGTATAGAAGCTATGGCATGCAGATCTGTGTCAGAAATTGAGGGAGAAAATAGGAACAGGTGCTACACCAGTACCGCTTACTCCGGTACCTAGCGGAGCATACAGTAGGTATTGTAGGGCCATAGTATGTATATGCAGTAGGTGGCACAGCTATAGTGCACCAGGTTCTAGAGTGCCACCCAAAATAAGGTGGGAAAGCGCAAAATCAAAGAACTGTGGCGCTTCTCACGCTACGCTAGGTACCATCAATCTGAGTACCGGATGCTGGTTCCAGTACCTACATGTACCTTGGGCTCCGAAATCTAGGTAATCCATCCAGTATTTATTCAGTACCAGCTACCTGTTCCTCCTCCCTGACCACCTACCAATGAAAGCGGAATCCCTAGCGCATTTCGTATCCTTTTCCTGATCTGTGAACTGATTATATTATTTGGTACGTATGCCTAGGCTTTCACTGTGGCGATTGTCCGTATCTACCCTAGATAAATCTGTACTAGTGGTGAGCTGGCAGCCAAAAAAAGTGCCAATTTACTTGGGCCCTGCAGGGCCTGCTGTACTGATTACAGGGTATCTACTGGTAGCTGTAGTATATAAATACACTATGTACTATATACAGTAGGTAGCAGGGGTGGGAGCAGCCCAGGGGAGGGTAGGGAACTGTAGAGAGCTGATTTGATGGGGAGGGTGATCATTGTGGGTCCACAGGTCCTCGGGGATGCCCGAGGATTGATGGCAAGGCCCAACAAAAGGCCATGGCCGTGGCAAACCCATTCTACGACAACAACATCCATCTGCCATGGCAGGTGTTTTACAACAACGACACCCATTTGCCATGACTATGGTCACATCAATATTTCCCCTTTGTCATGGTAAATGCCATTCAACGAACAGCCAGGGCCTGATGTAGTCGGGAATGTCATTGCATGTTTTTGCCAGACCGGGACCGTACACGTAGAGGAAGAAATCAAAAGTGGACGTGTGCTCTGCACAGGGGAAGAGGGTGCGGGGGCGTGAGGATATCTGGACGTGCATGTGCGCGTGCTTGCCTGTGTAGTAGGTCTCTTTGCCATTGACGCAGACACGCACAAATTTGTGATGGTCGGGGAAGGTGGAGGGGTTCCCCAGTAGCATCAAAGGTCTTGCAAAGGGCGCTGAGTATTTGATTGTACCCAACGCGGGCAAGAGGAGCACCGGTAGAAGGAAGGTCTACGCAAACGTGCACTTTGCAGCCATGTGGCGGGTGGAGGACATGAAAAGATAAGAGCATATGATAGAGATCGGCGACAAGACGCAGGTAGCGGAGATGGGAATGGGGGAGCTGGACATTGAAGGGTGTGGCACGGGGGGTCTCGTCAGCCTTGAGAAATTCCTATGAGACTAGTCCAGAATCCTTGAACTAGGTGTGGGTGTCCAGGTCTAACCTGACTAGGTTGGTCAGGAGTGCGACCGCACGCAGGAGAATGGACATGGTGCAGTCTACTGTGCACTTTTGCAGAGTGAGCAAAGTCAAGCTTGTCGCAGCCGCTATGGGCGAGTCTATCGAGAGCTTGCACACCTTCAAGCTGAGCTTCTTGAGCTTGCTTGGCACGCACCCCTCAAAGGTTCCCTTGTGGATGAGCTCGTCGCAGTTTGTGTGTATGAACTTGATGGTCTCAGTGTAGGACGGGTCAAACTCGAGCAACAAAACAGCGAGGTCCCTGGTGTTGACAGTGGCGAGATATTTGTTCCACTTGAAAGCAGGGGTGCTCATGGTCACAGTGAGCTCTTTGCAACGGTGGAATTGAGCCTTGATGGCCTTGAGCAATCCACGCCAGCGCGCCATTGCCTCTTCTTATTTATACCCGTGCAAAGTGAGCGGTCTGTCAAATACTAGGCACAGGGGATTGCTGGAGTCTTTGTGGCAGGGGGAAAGCACCATATGTGTACGCGCGGGGTGCCATGGGTCTATTAGGTGGTCCCAAAGAGCAGGCATATTAAGGACGACACCACGCCACTTCCAACAGACCCAGGACAGGACTAGAGCAGCTGGTTCGAAGTCTTTCTTTACATAGTGAAAGTAGTGGTTGTTTGCGACAACGTTCTTGTGGTGATAGTTAAACACCATCCGTAAAATCTCTGTGGGAAAGGAAGAGATGTAGAGGGCCTGGGTCTTGCGGCCTTGCATTAGCTCCCGGGTATCTGCTGTCAAGGTGTGCACTCACCTGGGTGCCTTCATCGCTTGCCCCACAAGCGCCTCTCATGCCCTTTGTCACAGCTTGCTCGGCAATCTTGGAGTTTACACTGACCATGACGGTCTTGAACTGGAAGGACTGGTCGCCGGATGTCATGGTCAAGAGATGTGGCGGAGATGGTGGTCAGAAGACAAGCAGGTTGGAAACACGCGCAGGGTTCTGATGCAATCGGACAGAACAAGCTCTGGTCCAGAAAACTGTGAGGTGTGGTGGATGGTGACAAGAGAAACACAGGTGCTCCGCTTCACCTGCTACTTGCAAGAGCAAGAGCGCATGGTATGCAAAACGGCGGGCCTATTTGATTAGCCAGATACTCAGACTTCTGGCAACGAAGCCGCAAGTGACCACACATGTCACATCTCGTCACCTTTTGATTGGAAACCACCGGCCTGGGTCCGGCCTACATCCAGGCTACCCAGAACCGGATGCAGCCAGAACTCGGGCCACGCTGATGCCTTCCCACGTGCATCGTTGCTCAGAATGCGAGGATACAAGTGCGTGAGGCATTTTGTTCAAAGTTTAGAGGTAATGGAAGATCCCACTATTATTGTATTAACTGGTGTTTGTGGAGGCCGGCAGCAAAGGTTCACGAGCTGTTTGCGGGAAACACCTGTATGCTTGTACAGTACGCCCGGGTGTCAAACTGCGGCCCATCTCCTTCCAAATGAATGGGCTGTCTGACCTACAGAGTTTCATCAGTGCTGACCGAGCACTGCCAAGTGTGGTGCCTACGGTGATGCGGATATGAGCGTCCCCACTTCTTTTAAAGTATTCACTGCAAAAGAACCCGCCCTGCCCTTTAAAGTCCTGAAGCGGGAGGCGTCGTGCTATGAATTGCAGCGGAGATTGACCAGCGACGTGGTCCTGGAGAGGCTTTGGACATCTCTTGTGTATCAAGGCACTGGCGCTGCCGTCAGAATGCACGCAGTCCCATGGAGACTTGCCTGCGACATACGGAGACTCATGATAGTACGAGTACTATCTCTCCCCAGAAGACTGCAGTAGGGCATTGTCCCAGATACGTGTGGTGGCTAAGCAATGCGTGTGAAAATTGCCATATCCGGCGTGAGGGCCTTATACGTGGTCGGGCTCGAAGGTGTCCCACTCCTCGCTCCAAGTGTCGATCTGGCTGATCACAAATTGGTTCTGGGGCCAGACCGCGCAATCCTGTACGCTCATGGGTAGAACAGCACTGGGTTCCAGGTGCAGGTATGGGTGAAAAGCGGAGAAAGGAATGGTGAGGCAGACACAGACCGGATTGTCGTCTATGGAGACCGAGTAACCGGGAAGAGTTATCCGTAACATGTTCCAACTGTCCAGGTGGAATATGCCGCTGTGATCTACCAGAGTGCCTTGGGGCATACTAATACCAATCTCTCTCTCAAAAGAAAGCTGGTGCTGAGCATCCCATTGGCGAATGAACAAAAGAATGCCGAGCCGAGCCAACAAGCGAGGCTGAGCCATATCCGAACCGACGGTGTCCATGTCGAACGGTTTGAATCACAATGCATAAGGTCCCTTGTGTGAGCCTGGGTAGTGCACTGCAGCCAGTGTGAGAACTCATCCTTCGACAACGGTGACTGCCAGGACATCTACAAACTGTATAGAAGATACCAATGGCGAGAATGTTTCAGTGGGTGCCTGGTGAGGGAACAAGTAAGTATGCACTTACGCGAGCCTTGAACCCAGTCCCTATGTCGAGGACTGCAACACCCTTCACATAAGCGGCACTGGCGGACCTGCTGTAAATGGCTCTAGGAAATTGCACGTTCTCTTCTGTGCATGATGTGCTGCCCCGCCAGGCAACACACGCAATTGCGACTGCCAGAGGAGATCCTGACTGGGACGATGGTCTCCTCGTCATGCCAAGCAGAACAATCAAACACGGGGCTGCACCCGCTATCAGAGAGCCGTGACGCGAACACCGTCAGACGTCTGAGTGATGAAGGTGAGCGTGGTTTGCGAGATCGCAAAGGGGAGACCCACAAGTGACAGTCTGTGGTGTTCTCGAGCACGACCACGACCGCCGCGTCTATGCCGGGGTCAATGGTGATGTCTTGGACTCACTGTCTTGCGGGGTCCGCCTCGATATATGCTTGCATGTTGGGTGAGAAAGAGCGTGGTTTGAAGGAACGAAAGGAGACGCCTCTGAGAGGGTTGGGAAACTGCCAAACACTGAACTGGCCAATGTCAGTCTGAACCATGAGAAAGCCCGTATTGTGGTCGAGGACAGGAGTGCCTGCCGGATTGTTGTACAAGACGAGGGGCTTGTCCAGGGTGCACGGTCAGCGCCAAGCTTGTGTGAACAAATACAGGAGACGTACACAGTCTCTGATGAGAAGCCTGTCGGGTCACATGCCGTCTTGTAAGCCATGCTTGAACAGTTTCAGCTTGTATCGTGTCTCCTCATCGGTGTCGATCAGAGACTTGAAATCCTGTGGACCGTGCACAACGCAACGATTGTAAGCACTTCAGCGTACTGCACCAACAGGGAGTATACAACCTCAAGAGGCAGACCAAAGACGGGCAGGTGTCTGCTGTGAGTCATGCTGCCCCAGCCTGGCATAGTAGTGGTAGGGTAAGCGTAGCAAACAAAGCAAAGGACCCACATGACCATTGTTGTGATAGCCAAGCTAAGCGTTCTTTCACACACAGCTCGGAGCCGGATGGTCTGCCGCATCTGAGGAGAAGCAGACATATTGATTACAACAAGAGTGAAATGCTCATACACAGAACGAAGGGGGCAGGTGTGCGGACCGGGGACATAGAGGGATGCGGCGACTAGCAGAGACAAGAGGAATCAAAACCCTAACCGGGCGGGGCGGAATGGAAGAGCAGATGGACATGGACTAGCAAAGGCTGTGGATGAAGGGACTGTAAAAACTGGGCACAGGGAGCTGGTTACCGTACGTGCCGTCTTTGTGCATACAGAGTCCTGATAGCGAGGCGTGTCAAAGGGTGCAACAAGAAATATGGAAGTCGTGATGCACGCTTATCACCCCACGTCAGCTCCTCGTCACTGTGCTTGTGCTTTGTGTCATCTGGCTGGATGTGCTACACCGGAGCATTGATGTCTTCTACTCTGACCATAATATCGAAGCAGGGATTGTTGGGAGTCCGGTCGCACTGTATGTTGAGCCTGCAACTGGCAATCGTACTCATGGGTTTGTGTAGAGATATGCATTGGTCTAATGCCCTGGTGAACTGATCCCGGTCCTGCTTGTACTGCTCCTCAAGGTGGTGATGGCCCGGGCTGGGATACTCTATCCACCAAGCATGGGGTACCTACAGTTTCTTTTAGCTCACAAGCAACAACAGGTTGGGATACACACACCGTAAACACCTCGGCTTGAGGGGTTTCTCCAAACGGGTGGAGTTTGGTCTGCATGAACTGCCCTATCATCTCGTTTCCAATACCTTTTCCTCGGTCCAGTAGAAGTGCCCGTTGGGCTTAGCGACCAGCGTCATGAAGTAAAGTTCTCCATTCAAATCGGGATGGGGATTAGGGGACGACATGATTGCGATAACACAGAGAGCAAGAGTGCGAGGTGGTGGTGGTCAGCAAACAAGGCTTGGGTGTGGCCGACCACAAGCACCATGACGGCCCGTTTGGGCCGGTCGAAGCCTTTGCTATGCCACTTGGGGCTCGAGACTTATCAAGAGCTATAGTGGGGGAGCCGCTCATTTGATAAGGGCAGGTGATGTTTCTTCTGGCCATGCTGTATTAGGAGAATTGTACCAAAGTACTGGGAATGGGAGAGCCCAGGGTGGCGGGAGCCTGAGCTTTGAAAAATCCAACAAGAGGGTGGCAATACGAAGGTGGGAAGCCGCGACAAGACCCGAGAGCAAGACTCAGTACGCGCCAGTCCAAATGTGGTCTATGCAGTCAAAGATGACTGGCTCCAAGCGCTCTGCAAACAGGGGCATCACCCTGAGGCCCTGGGATCTTTGCAGTGGCATACTTGAAATAGTGCCCATAGGGGTTCGCGAGACGCGTCTTGCAAAGGAAGGTTGGAGTGCAGTAAATCAAATTGGACATTTACGGGGGATGTAAGGGACGGGTAGAGGCAGGGGCAGTCGAGGTGATGGGAGGTAGCAAAGTACAAAGGCCGCAGGCGCGCGGTAAGGAGTGAGATTCCATTCTGGCCTCACCGTGAGAAGGGGATGCGGTATTCAGAAACACAGTGAGATGAGAAAGCTATACTACCAAACAGGCCTGCAAAACTATGGGGTGTAAAGTAAAGAACAAGGATATGATTTGGCCACTCAGGCCGGGCCGGATGCCACTTGCATCAGTTCTTGAACACCTTGATCATGGGCAGAACTCGGGCCGCTTCCGCCGCCCATGTAAACCCATTTTGGGTCAGAGCAGATAGTACCCATGTTGTTCTTGGCTATGGCGAGTAGTCAATCAAAGTATCAGCCATGAACCCGAACTGGTGATGCGCTCACTCAGTCAATTCAAGACCCGCGTCAAACTCGTGCTCTTTGCGAGTCTGTATCAATGTGTTGACTTCTTGAAGCTTGGCCAGCGCGCAAGTGTCGTCCTCCCTAGACATCCAGCGATAAAGTGGTGGGCTCTGTGACTTGGTGTCTGTGAGTAATGGAATAGCGGGATTTGCCGTCGCCAGACTTGTCACGTCTAGACACAGTGTGCTTCTCGATTAGGAAGGTAGTGGTGGTCCTGACATCATTGTGTTGACCCTCAGTATTGTCATCAACATCTTTGCGTCTATTAGGGAGTGGCGGGTGTGAAGGACTGGTCGGGGCAGGTGTAGGAAGAAGGGCGGCGGGCTGATTTGGGGCAGTCTGTGCCCTGCTGACATTGTGAGCAATGCATCTCTGGGCTGCAATTTGACACATTGATGATGCCCACAGTGTATCTCCGCGACCCAATTGCTGAGAACGGCACTGCTGGCCAAAGAGCAGAGTGATGTTCCGTTGATGACAGAGGTAGGGCGGTCGGTAACAGGCTCGGCGTACGAGACGTACAGATAGAGCAGGGCATTGCCAAATATCCCGTGCGTCTGGGGGACCTGCAGCGACCTTGTCGTGAAGGACATGAGTTTGACAATGGACTGCAGTTGTGCCGACAACCCGTATTGAATGCCTTGCGGTGAATTGGGCAAGGAGAGTGAGCAAGATCCAGTGACTGATGGGATGCCTTGACTGTTCCGCTCACCTCAGATCTGTGCATCGGGGTGGTGATAGTAATGGTCGACAAATTTAAACCACGCCATGGAGGAGTTCAGCAGCTCAGCTGGGCCTCTATGCTCATTTGCCAGGCGAATGTTGCAAATTTCCTTATCCGAGAGATGGGTTGGGAAGGTGTGTCCTTGCTCCTAATGACTCAGGTAGCTGGTGTTGGGGTCAGACCCAAAACACGCCAGGAGACAAAGGTCTCCATCTGAGCACTACACCCAGATCAAGTGCACGTGTACAGGCATGTCGACATACTTGGAAGATATTTAGCGGTGCCGTCGGGCCCTCTGAATGGCATGCACTTCAATGATTTGAAGCAGGCAGGACGCGCCCATATACTCCTCTGCATCTTTGAGTGCCGTTCTGTGAGCCTGTTGCAATTGCAACAAGTGTTGCTCGATCCAAGAATTCATATCAAGCTGTGCAAAGGCTTGGATGATAAAGGGACGGAGACAATGTGCACGACTGCGCTGGTGGCAACCCTGTGAGGCGAAGGCACAAGGTGTTGCTGTTCTCACCCTCTGCAGTTGCACAAGATCCTTTCTGGGTTGTAGCAGTGGCGCTAGTGACGATGGTGGCAGTTGTGTTGCGACGGCAGACAAGGCAGCTTTCTCAGAATGCAACTAGAGAGAAGCTATATATCTTTGCGTACATGCAGTTATATCCCCCCCTTCACCAGTATGGGTTTGTCCTCTACTGAGGGAAGGACACAAATGGGAACCGTTCTACAATCCCTCGTAGATGGCAATCGCAAGGGCATCTGGGTAGGGCAGTGCCACAGCAGGCAGAGCATGGGATATATGAAAGACGTCACCACGTTACTACAGTCTCAGGTCACAACCCAGCACTCTATGTGTCGACTACTTGGAAGCGGAAGTGGGTGGGGTATGTAATACAGGCAGTCTGGAGTCTTTGATATCGTACAGGTCCTCGTACTGAACCGTGTCTACTATAGGTGGGGCCAAATCGACCTTCCCAGACACAGGCTTCGAGGTTATTGCAAGAGACTGCAGGGTGTCGACTGTGCATAGGGTCTTGCTCCAGTCTCGCACTTTACTGTCTACCTTGACCTGGGCCTTTGTCAATGATTTGCGCAAGACTGCGCGTACAGGATACTGCTCACATCTTGTGGCTTAAAACCCAGTATCTGCAATCCCTCACGGCTCGACACCCGAGAGATCACAATATATTGTTGACCTGAAGGACTCATTGAGTGTCTGCGGGAGCAAAAAGCAGAAGGCTGGGGTTGCACTGACCAGGCACGAAAGAGTTGCTGACATCAACCTTGACGTGCTCCAGGGTCTTGCCTTGACTGCCGTGGATGGACTGGGCGTATCTGAGGACGAGAGGGCATTGGTCTCAACATGCACGACAGTGGCCAAGGGGATCGAGGAGTTTGAATGGATGGGAACATATGAGAACTTTCACGCTGCCACTGGGAGTGAGAAAGTTGACCAGTGGGTATGTCTCTTTGGTGAGGCAGCTACCGAACTGATCCAGAAGCAATCGGCCTTTATTGTCAAGCATCACTTCATACTAAGTCTGCCTCATAAGTGTCACTTGCACCTGGCGGAAACCACACACCCTGTCAAGGGTGCTATTGATGAGGTTTTGGCTTTGGTCGATGTTGCACACGAGAATGATCTGAGCTCCTGTCTTGAGCAGAAGCTCGTGGTGTACAGGCAACTGGTCGAGCTGTTCCAGGCATTTCTTTCTCTCTCCTTCATTGACAGTGCCGCACTTGCAGCTATGCAAGTAGTCGGTCGAAGCAGTGCCTTGAGAGCCGCGAGACGTGTCACGTTGGCATCTTTGACCTTGCTATGATGGGGATACAGTTGAGTGGGGTGCATTGGCCCGGGCAGCTCACGACTGAGAGCCTGAAAGGCTTTCACGGCCTCTAGAGAAAGCCGTCCAATGTGCAGCTCATTCAAGAAACCAACAAAGACTGGGTATGTTGTCAGCAGAAGGCCGCACTGCCTGCACGAACAAGCAACTCGTGTGGCTCACCTTGGTCGAATTGTCTGAATACTTGAGTGAGCGTGATTGCAAAGTCAAAAACACGGTTCCACAACACAGCCTCGAAGGTGAACTTGGGCTCTTGACAGCCATGAGTGACTGGGGGTAGCTGAAAAAAGTCGCCAGTTGCGACAAGCTGCCGTGGCCACCGTCAAGACTCGAAGAGACAGATGCGATGAAGCGAAAGGGTACCTGCAGACCTCCTGCTAGTTTGTGGTTGTTGGCCAGGGCTTTGTGTGCGGACCGTATTCTCTGCGCCGTGTGAACAAGGAGGTCAAACAGCTTGGGCGGGACCATGGAGACTGCTTGTGAGGGTCAGCACGCAGGCGGTGATCAGGCGAGACTTGGGTGCTTGCCTTTGTTGATGATGAGAACTTTCGCTTTGGCGTAGCTATTAACTGCAGCCTTCTTGCACATAATCTTTCCCAGTAGGATACCAACATCCCGGTCACCCGGTGACATGGATGCCCAGGAATGGAGTGTTTGGCCTGTTGCTAGTGGTCAGATCAGCTATCGGTGTAGAGCCAGATCTCATCACCTCCGATTTCATAAGCGGCTGCTCCAGTACTGGCGGTCACTGCGACGTACTCCAAGTTGTGGCTGTGCTTTCCAAGAAGCGAGTCGATGATGTGCTTCAAGAGAAAGAACTTGCCTGTGCCTGAGGAGAGTCGTCAGACACCGTACATACAGAGTCAACCCCTCCCCTGCCTGCCTCACCTGCAGAGCTGGTAATGAACATGCTCTTGCCTTTGTTGACAACCAATCGCAGGGCCTTCATCTGCTCCTTGCTGAGAGACATCGAGGGCGCTAGAGTGTGCGCATCTTCTCTGGATTGTGCCTTATCGGGGATGCGTACGTTGGTGTGTACGAATTCTTCAAGCCTGGCTTGTCGCTTGCTGGGAGGTTGCTGTGGGAGGGGGTAAGACCTTCTCTTTGGTGGCATCTCAGGGATAGGCAGGAGAGTCTCATAGCTTGGCGGGGGACAGGTGAGGCAACCCTTGCATTGGGAATGCACGTCCGTCGCTCTGGTTTATTGATACGAGGCCCCAGGTCATACCACTGTCACTACGCGGGTGCTTAGTGGGGAACGCAGAGGTGCCAAAACAAAATGGAGATGTGCTTCAATGAGCGCGCATGAAGAGCAATCAAAAAATGTCATTTCATAATTGTGCCCGAGGGAACAGATATCATGAAGGCATTAAGCAAAGAGGTGCTACGCGCCATCATGTGTCGAGAAGAGCACTTGCCTGTTCTACAATTGCATTCTCCTGTTCAATGGTGTCTAGGAGGTACACATCAAGTCTGCTCGCTGCAAAATACACCGCCATGTGTCCTCCATCAGGCAGCTGGCAAACGTGTGTCAGGAAGCCAACCACATCCTGGACACCCTCTGTGACGGCCTTGATAGACAGTTCCTCTGCTAGGGAGGAAGTGTCCTGACCGAGGGGACATTCCGAGATCGCTTCTGCAAACGATGGACTTTGCAGGAGTGAGTCTTGACAATGAACATATCCCTGCAACCTGCCAATATGATCTTGGTATGTGACCTGCAGCATTCCGTGGATGAGCCAATCATCAAGGTTGCGGTAGTGATTGCATAGCGCTGCATATTGTGCCATGTTGCCCCTCTAGAGAATCTGGCTGATGAGCTTGGGCAGACCGGCCGCACACAGGCGGTTGTTGGTGGAGCAGAGAGAGCAAGCACCGGAGTCCGCTTCCATTGCCATGCAGCAAAACAAACCGCTTACCTGGAGCTGTGTGCCGGAAAGTGCAGATCCTTTGCCCATCTCGCCTCTACGGCAAGAGCTGCATTCCCGTTGGCAAGGTACCTGTTGTGTGGTATCGTCATCAGCATGCAGTCCCTGTACGGAGCCGTGATGAGAGCGGTACCGGGAAAGCTTCTGCATCTTTAACCAATAGAGAGACGATCCTGGCCCTGTCTGCTGTTGTGTTGGCCACAGGCCACAGACTGTATGTCCTCTGTTTGGACGTGTCAACCCGGGGATGTGCGCAGACCACAGCTTTGAACGGGAAACTGGCTTCGTTGACTATCCTCCTAAGCTGTAACTTGTTGTTTGGCCCTTTGAATAGCGAGCTGTAGTTGCTAAAAAAGTTGCAAGTTATGGAATTTGCAACAAGTGACAAGTTAAATTTGCCAGGGTCCGCTAACTTGCTCATTAAACATTTTCTTTTCATTTACCATGGCCCAAAATGGACATAAGCCATCAAATCAGACACTCGGACCTGTCTTGTGGGAATCCGAGCATGCCACGTGCAACCTCCAAGCATACTGCCAGTCCCCGATGCATCCCGGCACTTTCCAGCCATCAATCCCGCCCTCATGGATCAATCCCGGCCTTCCCTCCCTCCTGCCCCCAGGCCTATCCACCCCGGGGGCCACCCTGGGCTCAATAGTACTTACTTTTGGCCCGTCCCTTTTTCCTGTATGGTCTATTAGTATACAGGTACGTATTCCGTACCTTAGACGGGCTCCACACGGCGCGGATCGACCGGTAGGGGCTGTGTGCTGGCAGCTCCTTCAGGAGCACATCTGGGTCTGGGGCTTTCCTCTGGCCGTTCTACCATGCGTTTTAGCGCTACGGGGGCTTTGAATGTCTGCAAATCCGGCGGTAACTTTATCTCAAATTAACAGTACGTACCTGGCCCGGAATTGGCTGTATGATCTGGGGGTTGCTACTTTGATGTATTGGGATGAAAAGTAGGTCATTCATGATGCCCATAGCCCATAGATGGCCGAGCGTGCCCGTGCAACCTTGGAGGAACAGATACACCTGATCAGTGTTTGCGTGGAAGTGTCAGTAACGGCTAGGCGGCCGCTTACTAACGAAGACAAGGACAAGCGGGTTAACCAAGACAAGCGGCTAGGTAGCCGGTGTATACACTAGATTAAGGTTAAGAGTAAGTTACAAGCGGGGACAGAGTCTTATATAGGTAGGGCAAGGCAAACAACCATAAACAAGGCGCGAGAACTGGATGAGTCGAGCATGAGTCATGGGGATTGCCGAGTCACGTGAGAGTCCGGAAAAAGGAAAAGAAAAGGAAAAAGATAATGGATAATCGGGTGTCCGTAACATCACCCTCCCTTCAGGCTAGTCGTCCATGACTAGACACGCATACGCCGCAGATGTGCCTTGTGGTAGTCGTCAATTGCTTCGTCGGCATCCTGCATCAAGTTAGCGACTGGTTCCCAGCTGTTGTGGCAGTCCGAGTATCGCTTCCACTTGACCAAGTACATCATGCTCCTGTGTGTGCCTCGGCCGATAATCTTGGAGTTGATGACGGCCTCGACCTCATATCGTTCTTCACCGTCGATCATCTCAGGTGGGGGCTCTGGCGGATTGGCAAAAGCAGGCGGGGTGTAGGGCGTGAGGAGAGCCTCGTTAAACACATTGTGCGTCTTCCACATCGGAGGGGTGTCAAGACGGTACACGGATGCACCGATCTTCTCGAGCATTTTGAAAGGGCCATGACGCCGTTCATTGAGTGCGGGCGAAGGACGTTTAGATTTGAGATTGGTCGCTTCAAGCCACACCTGGTCGCCAACCTCGTAATTGCGAGCGTCCTGGTGGTGTCGATCGTAAACCTCTTTCATAGTCTCCTTGGCCTGACATAGTGCGGATGCAATCTCCTCATGAACCTTCTTGAGATGTTGTGCGTATGACGTGGCGGCAGGTACGTGGTCTGTAGCGCGGGGATTGAGTCCACTATACGGGTGGCATCCCTCAGAGGCATGGAATGGTGTCTCATGGTGCGAGGAATGAACCGTGTTGTTGTACGAGAACTGCGCCAACTTGAGGTATTTCACCCATTCGCTCTGGTGGTAATCCACGTAGAGGCGAAGGAAGGTCTTGAGCTCTTGGTTATAGTGCTCGGTAAGTCCGTCGGTCTGCAGATAATACGCCGTGGAGGGATTCCCAACAATGCCAAGCTGGTCCATGAGAGCACACGTGAATGAGGAGATGAAGGTGGAGCCGCGATCCGTGATAATCTTGCGTGGTAGGCCATGTTTGCTGTATACGTGGTCGTAGAAGAGTTGGGCAAGTTGGCCTGAGTCTGTGGTATCACTGCAGGGAATGCAGATGACGTGACGACTGAAGTAGTCGCTGATGTTGAGTACCATGTTGAAGCCTTCGCATTCGGGTAACGGGCCCACAAAGTCCATAGAGATGACTTCGAATGGGCGAGTGAGTGTCTTGTTGGGCTGGAGCGGTGCGTGAGGGCTTTCTTGTCGGTACTTGATGCGCTGGCAGAGCTGGCACCCTGCCACATAGTGTCCTACGTTCTTCCTAATGCTTGGCCACCAATATGTCCGTGTGATAAGCTCCTCCGTCTTGTAGCGTCCTGGGTGCCCTGCCATGAGCGAGTCATGGTGCGCCTTGATGATATCTGCGCGTAAGGCTTCGTCAGGTGATACGTAGATGCGGTCATCGTGTGTGAGTAGGCCGTCTGCGTGCTCCTTCCAGCACGGATTCTTGATGAGCAATGCAAGTTCAACGGATTCTTCGCGTTTGACGGTGCAGTCTTTGATGCGACGGATTGTGGGCTCGTCTTCGCCAGCAAAATCGAGTGCTGTAGCGCGAAGCAGGACGCGAAAAAACTCGGGTTTGAGCAGGACAATGTCCTGGTTGTCATTCTCCCCCCTTTCATGTTCTGCTTTGCGTGAAAGTGCGTCAGGACGACCCATGAGGCCGCCAGGCTTGTGGTGGAGTGTAAAGTCGTACTCCTGCATCTCGGTGAATCAGCGAGCTTGGCGTCGATTGAGGCGACAAGCTTCACGGAAGTACGTGAGATTCTGGTGATCCGACCAGATTTCAAACATGTGACGGGCGCCCAGAAGGTACTGTCGCCATTCCTACAGTGCAAGCATGATGGCCAGAAGCTCCTTGTCGTAGATCTCATAGTTGCGCTCTGCT